CCAGTAGCTTTACCCTCTTTTGTGTTTTTGATGGCATGGATGACTTCTTCTCTTAATATTGGTGGCCCAGTATCCTCGGTGATTTCTAATGACAGTTCTTCTCTTTCATCATTAAATAGTTGTTGAATGTAATTGGTACAGTGACATAATCTCCTTCATATCAGTAATAATATCCCCTTTATCATTTTTAAGGATATTCGTTTTTGTACGCTTTCTAGAACCTGTCATTTCTTTGATTTTTTTGTGTAAATTAAAGCTATCGTACTTTTTATCCAGATCTTCTATTTCCTTGCATCTTCGGAGAGCCACCTCTCTTTTGCCTCTCAAATTTTCTTTCTGATGTTTCTCTGAATTTCTTTGTATTTATTCAGGTCTTTGGCTTTATGTTTTCTTCGTTCTACCATGAGTTCAAGAATTTCTACTGTCATCCAAGGTTTTGTTTTTTCTTCAAGTGGTTTGAGGGTTTCTTATCCAACGGACACAAGGGCATGTTGAATTTTTCTCCATTTATGGTCAATAGTTAGATTTTCTGCATTATCTTCTTTGACTTTACTTAAGCTCTCGTTTATTTTAAATTTGGTTTCCACATATGTGTTGTCTTGTTTGAGACGTCTTGTATCTATGATTTTCTTGGTGCTAGGGCTGTTGACCTTCTTTAGTTTCACTCTCATCGACAACACAACCGAGTTGTGGTCGGAGGATATGTCCGCTCCTGGATATATATCGAGAAGAATACATATCGCTAATAAAACATATAATGGACTAATTAAACATCTAAGATCTAACAACATCACAAGAAAAACCAAATGCAAAATATACAAGACCCTGGTAAAAGCGGTCCTTGTATATGGATCAGAGACATGGACACTGTCGAAAAGCGATGAGAACCTATAAGGTACGTTTGAACGAAAAATCTCGAAAAAAAAAACCAGAGGTCATAACATCCCTAAAGATCGGACATCTGCGCTGGATGGGCCATGTTGAACGGATGTTGAAGGCTGAAACACCAAAACATATAATAAGGCAAACACCAGTAGGGAGAAGGTCAAACGGAAGACCCAAACTTAGATACATAGAACAAGTGGAACAAGATCTGAAAACACTTAAGACTACCAACTGGAAAAACAAAGCAACGAACAGAATGGCGGAAAATACTAAAACAAGCCAGGACTCAGAAAGTGTTGTCGAGCTACTGATGTTGATGATGATGATTCATTGGTAAATTGAAAATGATTTATAGGTCTCAATTAGCTAAAAAGTGCATGTTTCAATTGTTACGTTTCGATGGTGGCCTCTCTTGACCACCCGTAATGCCGAAATCCCGAAAGGTATAGCCCTGAGTCCTCCTTGAGTGTGTCCCGCTAGACGAAGGCAGCTGAGTAGTTATCAAAAATGAACTTGAGCTTTCTATAATTATTAAGTTTGTTGCTCAGTATTTATTTTGAGAGTCTATACTTCTCTTAACATTTTTATGGCTGGTAAATCTCTCATTAAATTTATACTATTTTAGTGGGACAACACAAAAGTATTTTTTGCTATTTTATAGTCAATTTATTGGATAATAAATCTCAACGTGATATATATTTATGATAATTACAATTTTTTAGCATCTGGTTAATTACGATTTTTTTTCATGTTTGTGGTTTTGTTAATTAATTTATTGTTGATTAGTAGTAGACGGTAGCTAATTCTTGGGTGTTCAGTAATTGAGAGCTAATTTTATGAAACTGAAACTATATTAGTAATTTACATATTGGACGAATTATATACAAGGTGTTTCACAACGAGCTCACACTATCTATATATCGGAAATTTCTTACGGGATATTTTTTGGGAAAATTGTTTTATGAGAATTACAAATTATTACAACGACGTGACTGTAACCTCATGAAGAGAATATTTAAAAATTTAACACATTTTGGATGTTTTTACCAAGAAGTTAGCCATAGCGGAGCTGGGTGATGGAATCTCTGTAAACGGAAGAATACTAAATAACATACTGTTATCGCCAGCTAACTTGGCGGTGCGCACAAACCCAAAATTGCTTAGTGGCTAGGTGGTGGTCTTTAGTCTCCTCCCAGTTATCAGGTGCGTAACACTTAAGTGATTTGCGGCTATTATTTTTCAGACTTCTTATTATTTCGGATAGTTAAATGTATTTGTGACAATTTCTAACGATGGCGTTGAAAAATAGTAGAAAAAATAATTCTGTTATTAGTGGAGAATCTCGGGAGATTATATTTAATGTGTTTAATTATTTCAAAAGCGACATTCGCAGAATAATTTACGATTTTTATAAAACAGAAAAATATCGGGTTACGGTAAAAAAATTAAAACAAAAAATTCACAACGATTTGGATATCACAATTTCACAAACATCTTTAAGGCGACTTCTACGCAAAATGCAATTTCGTTGGAGGAAAACCGAAAACAACTGAAAAGTGCTTGTAGAAAAAAGTGCAATAAGAGCTTTGAGAATAAAATATCTCAGGCAAATCAAATATTTTCGGAGTCAAAATAGGCCAATCGTGTATGTTGACGAGACCTACTTACACAGCGGTCATACTTCTTCAAAGAACTGGACTGACGAATCAACCAAGGGCTTATTTTCAAATATTTCCAAAAGTCAACGACTAATAATAGTGCATGCCGGTGGGGATATGGGATTAATAAAAAATGGCTTATTTATCTTTAAATCAGGTTCAAAATCAGGGGATTACCACTCTGAAATGAATTCAGAAAACTATGGAAAGTGGTTACAAGAACATTTATTACCTAATTTACCTGCTATTATCGGTATTAGTTTTTGATAACGCACCTTATCACAGCATTAAGTTGGAGCGGGCGCCTACATCAAACTTAAACAAAAATCAAATGATAGAATGGTTAATGCAGAAAAATATTTCATTTACACCTAGTGCTTTAAAACCTGAACTGTATGAAATAATTAAATATCATAACCTCATCATGTAAAATACAAATTCGACGAAATTCTACGTGCGTATGGCCATATTCCTTTACGTTTACCTCCTTACCATCCTGACCTAAATCCTATTGAACTAATATGGGCTACAGTCAAAAATAATATGAGGCAGAAAAACGTTACATTTAAGCTAGATGACGTACAAAAACTCGCCGAGGAAGAATTCACTAATATTGATGCAAATGAGTGGAGAAAACGATGTTACCATGTCATTAAGAAGGAAGATGAGTATATGGACAGCGAGATAGTTGCTGATAACGCCACGCAAATAGCTCCAATTATTATAAATCTTGACAGTGACTCTTCCAGTACAGAGTTTTCTTCTTCCGAAGATGAAAATGAAGAAAATTATTAACAATCCATTTATTTTCAAATAGATACCACTTTTCAACACGGGTACTTGTTTTAGTATTATAATAAAACCAAAATATTAAAATTAAATAATTACTGTGTTGCATTTATTTATACAATATCCTCCATTTAATTTGAAACACAATATCAACGTAGATTTGTGAATTAAATTCAGTCATTATTGTATAATTTGTTTACTAAGTTAAATAAATATTATAAACCAATAGCTTACTATTTAAATTAAATAAACCAAAATTACAATTTCATCTTTCTAATAATATATTAAAGCTTGCAAAAAATATTACTTTTTTAATTGTGTAATAATTATTTGACCTATACCGCTACGCTACTGAATATACTTATCAGAAATAGTAAACCAATGGGATGAATCATAGGGCGTAAACATAATTTATTTCTCTGTGACGTTCTGCGTACTCTCTCGCCAAGTTAGCTGGCGATGATTGTAAGATTCGCTGATGACACCGTTATAATGGCAGATACCCTGGAATCGCTACAAGAATTTATAAATAGAATTAACGATTACTGCATTAGATACGGACTAAAAATAAATAAGAGGAAAACTAAATTTATGATTGTCTCAAAAACGCAACATGGAAATGAAAGATTAATGATAGAGCAAACCCAAATAGAAAAAGTAGAGACATACAAATATCTGGGAACCTGGGTTGATGACAAAAATGACAAAGCAGAGAAATCAAAGTCCGAATTGAAACTGCAAGGCAAGCATTTGTGAAAATGAAGACAATGCTGAGATGAATGAGACCTTCAGTTGCATCTCAGATTGAGGGCTCTAAGATTTAACATATTTTCTATCTTACTATACGAAAAAGAAGCTTGGACATTGAAGAAACAACACATAAGAAAAATAGAAGCGTTCGAAATGTGGTGTTACAGGAGAATGTTAAAAATTCAGTGGGTTCAAAGGATTACCAATGCTGAGGTACTACGACGTCTAAATAAGGAGTTAGAAATTATAAACAGCATAAAAACAAGAAAATTAGAGTATTTGGGTCACATAACCAGAGGAGAAAAATACGAGCTGCTGAGAATTATTATGGAAGGAAGGATCCAAGGAAGAAGAAGCATAGGAAGAAGACGCATCTCCTGGGTGAGGAACCTTAGAGAATGGTTTAACTGTGAGTCACTACAACTTTTCAGAGCAACAGCCAACAAAGTGACCATAGCCGTTATGATATCCAACCTCCGATAGGAGATGGAACTTTAAGAAGAAGAAGACCAAGAAGTTAAAAAAGTAAAGCACACCATTTTTTGTTCAATTGCACATAAATAGATTATAACAACTTATAGCAAGTATTTAAAAACTTTGTCCTTGAACTTCCAACGATTTATAGGGTCTTTTATCACCAATATGAAATACATTGCGAACTCTAAGTTTATAATCTTCCTTTCCTTTGTTGTAAGAGGATCGGAATATACTTCATTTTTTTATGAAGCATCATCATTATTGATTAGCTAAGATGGGGGTAATATTTTATTCTCCCACTGCAGATAAGAGTTGAAAATAGTATAACTATAAAAGTTATTAAACATGTTATATAAATTCCTAAATATGGATAAAAAAACCAATCAATTCATTCATTTACAAAATTATATTAAAACCGTAATGTTAAAAAATTGTACTAACCTTCTCCATCGAATTCCCAACGGTTACACTTGACCCTACTTAAAGCATTTAAACTCGCACTACACAATGCTGTAATGTTGTTTATTCCGGTAACGTCTAAAACTGTACAATATTCTTGTTCACTTTGTCCACTACAATTCATCCACTCACTAAATGGGACGTCTGTAAAATTTTCTGGCCGCGCACACCAAACGTTTCTTTTTTCTCCAACGTGAAAAGTTGGCGCGAAAATGTGCCACGTGCATGGTATGTTGAAAAGAGAGAGGAGCAATGTGTTGAGCAGTTGCCACCTTCCGAACTCTCCTATTGCCTTCGAGACTACATCGTCCTCTTCTTGTGTTTCTTCTGGTTTCTTTTTAGTGCCATCGATAATTGCTGAAACAAGAATTAATAATTAATATTGATTCATAATATGAATATATATATATATATATATATATATATATATATATATAATATATATATATATATATATATATATATATATACCGACATGGCAATTTTTCAATCTGTATACGTTATTCAGTATGTGGAATAACACTTAATTGTTTGAATGCGAGTGAGACACAATCCACGCATGTTGAAATAGCGAGTCTGACTTTTAAAAGTCAGGTTGAAAATAAATAATCAACATGCCAAGCGTATATTTTCGAGAAGAAAAGATTCAAATAGTGAAATGGTATTATAGGAACCATTCTATTGTAGAAATAATACAATTATTTATCGTTGCTTTTGAAAATCGCCCAAATCCGGCAGAGAAAACTGTACGATCAATTTATTAAAGCTTTGTGTTGCAATGCAAGTTTGTTTAATTGCTGAAGAAACGCCTTGTTTCTTTTCATCTCTGTCAGAGGATCATTTTAAACATATGAAATTTTGTGAAACTATGATGGAGAAATCGAATGAGAACGATAAGTTTTTAAAAAATGTTTTGTTTTCCGATGAATTTTCATTCACAATCGATAAACGTCATAATCCATCGGTTGTCCGTTATTGGTCTAGGGACAATAAATATTTGTGTAATGCTGTGAAAACACAATACCCAAAGTGTGGCTCTAAAAGTGCATGAGCATCGAGATTTGTCCAATCCCTTAGGTTTTTAAGCTATTAGTATTTTTTCTTCCGATGCCTCGTTTTCCTTCTATCTTCCCTTCCATAATAAGCTTTAAGAACTGGTACTAAGAATTTCGAAATATATGACCCAGATAAGCAGTTTTTTTCTTTTTATTATTGGCAACAATTCTCGTTCTCTGCCCATTCGATTTAATACTTGGACATTTGTTGTATGATCTGTCCAGGAAATTTTAAGTAGTCTTCTAAATACCCACATTTCAAAGGCCTCCAATCGATTTATCACATTGGCCTTTATGGTCCAGGTTTCTACACCATATAGCAGTATGGAGTAAATGTAACATTTTACAAAGCGATATCGAAGCGTTAAGTCGAGGCTGCTGTTGCTTAGCAAGGTTCTCATATTAGTAAATGCTGTTCTGGCTTGCTCAATCCTGCTACGTATCTCTATGTCTGGATCTAGATCTTCAGTTATCCAACTACCGAGATATCTGAACTTGGGGACCTTTTGGATGTTCTTGTTGTTTACTCTTATATTCAATTGCATATTTCGTGTTCTACTAACCACCATTATCTTCGTCTTGTCTATATTAATCTTCAAACCCAGTCGTTCTCCTTCAGTGTTTATTCTATCTATTAGTCATTGTAGCGTTTCTTGGCTATCAGCCATTATGACTGTATCATCAGCATAGCGAAGATTACTAATAGTCTGTCCGTTGATTTTGATTCCATCTTCAGTGTCACTTAAGGATCTATCGAAAATCGTTTCAGAGCAACGATTAAAAAGGAGGGGTGACAGAACACAACCCTGTCGTACACCTTTTTCGATTGAGAAATATGATGTAGATTTCAGTCCTACTCTCACAGATGCCACTTGATTCATATAAAGGTTGTTTATGATTTTAAGGTCATTCTCATCTATCGAACGTTCCTGGAGCAGTCTTACAAATTCTGAATGATTAACACAATCGAATGCTTTCTGGTAATCTATAAAACATAGGAAGGCATATTTTTGTGGATCTCTGCATTTCTGAAGTAGGGCAGTTAAGGTATAAACCGCTTCTCTTGTGCCAAATCCTTGTCTGAAACCGAACTGTGTGGGGCTAATGTCTCTTTCACATCTGTTGTATATTCTTGTGTGAATTATCTTTAAGATTAGTTTTAATGGCTTTAACCTGGCTTAATAAGCTGATCATTCGGAATTATGTATGTTAAAGTGGTCATGTTTTTATTCCAATTACTCCATTTCTGCATACCTAGCTAGCAGCCACTGTTCTTTAGCTTTGTGACACTCTTTTTGTATTTGTCGGTTGATATGCTGATATTTGATTCGGTCTTATTCGGTATAGACATTTACAATAACTCATACGCATCAGCACACAGAGGTAGCTAGTTTTTTTTATTCTAAATATTGGCACTTTTACACGAAATATCACATATATAATGTCCTACGACCCTTAAAACCCTTTATTTGGCCTTTTTTATTTCTAGATTTTAATATTTCAACAACTGAATTCAAAAATTCAAATGTATAAAAATCGTAATATTCCCGGTTTTTTTTAAAGAAAATCGATATTTTTTTTTAAATTAAGTTACCTTATTGCATACATTATAAAAATTCAATTAGTTAATCTGTGAATTATTTTTTTAATTAAGTAATTTGTCCAAAACATTTATACATTTTACAAAATTTTAATTTTTTTCTTATTATTAGTAGTAGAAAAGAATATGAAATGATAGTTAATTTAAATATTTATGTACCATAGGTAGATAAAAATTAAACATTTCACAAAAAATTGATTTTTTATTTGAAAATCAAATCTATACTAGTTAAATTGTTATGAATTATGATTATTATGTTTATAATTACTTTTCTTGTATAATTATAATTAAAAATAATAAAACTAACTATGTGAAATGTAATATGTTAGTTATATACACAGATTAATTCCATAATTTTTATTTATGATTACACAAAGTGTATAACAATAATTTGTGTCAAATATATTGTAATGGTTTTAAGAAAAAGTAATTGTGAAAATAATAAGCATAATACACGAAAAATTAACACGTACTGACTTTTTTTTTAAGTAAAAAATTAATTTTTGTAAAATGTATTGCTAAAAAATACTATAATACATACATATTTAAGTTGCTTATTATTTCATAACCTTTTCTACTACTAATTATAAGAGAAAAGTAAAATTCTGCAAAATAAATATTTATTTTAAATTGTCAAAAAAATTACTAGGTTGTTACACAATTCACAAACTAACTAATTGCATTTTTATACTTACGAAAATATGGATATTTCAAATTAGTAACCATCTTTCCTCAACGAATAATGAATACATTTTCTTAGAAACTCTCTATCCACCGATATGCTAAAAATGGACGAAGAACTCTTCAGAAAACAAAAAACTACACCAACTCTGACACTAAAGTTATTTCATTGATTATTAAAGGGCAAAATATTGGCACAAACATTGACACTCAAAGGTCGAACCATTGAGTCTTAACTGGTAATCTTATTCTAATATTTAATTAGAAGAGTCGATTAAAATTAAGTAGAAATACTAAGCTACTCTTTTATCACAGAAGTGTTTACGCGGAATTCATGTTTTATCAGCCCTACAGAAAATGAAAAGATTTGCGATGATCTACAAAAAAATATTCAAATTATCGGCATTTTTTTTAATAATCTAATAAATATAAAAAATCTCGCAAGATAACAGTGTTAAACGTATATGTAAACCAGAAGAGTCTATGTGTTCTTTTAGAAAAACAACTTTCCATTTTGTCAACTAGAACGGAAATTATTACCTAGTTGACAACAAACAAAATCAAATATGATGAAAAACTCATAAAATTTGAATTATTACAAATTACAAAAAGGAATAGAAAGAAAATGAAAAAGAAAAAACATAGATGCAATGTAGAGAACATTAAGGACTACGTAAGAAATAGAAGAGTAGAATGGATCGATCATATAAGCCGAATGACAACAAATAGAGTAGTAAAGACTGCAAGACACGGTTCCCGCGGAAGACCGCGAAAACTTACTGGAGGCACATGTCTACATAAAAAGAAGAAGAAGAAGAAGAAGATTATTAAAGGTCAGGAAAAATTTTTATAACAAAGTTAAAGCTGTCTGAATTGTCTCCTTATATATACTCTATATACCATACTTGGAATGATCTTTCCAGAGAAGTTCATAGTTAAAGAAATTCTCCCATATTACTTCCAGAGCTTGTCATTCTAGGTACGGCTCGTAGAATATTCAAGAGACCTGATAACAAAACTTCTTTTAAGCTTTGTTATTATATAGAAGATATTTTCTTAATGAGAATTCCCTATGTAGAAGGTAACTGTACGTCGTCATCTCTTTTATTGAGACAATTTGGCCTTTATCCATAATTTCGAATAATAAGCGGATGCATTCTATGATTCTGTAGTTTTTAAAATCAATTTTGTGACCTTTATGAAGATGGTGATCTAGAGCTAAAATTGCGAACAGAAATGGATGTTCATAAATTTTATTTTAGATTCTACGATTTGTTTGTCCTATATCAGATCGGAGGCAGTCTGTACAAGGAATTTTATAAACTCCATGTTGTTCATTTGAAATGTTGTCTTTAATTGATCGGACAGAAGTATTTGTCTGGGGAGTAAACATTGTCTTTATTCCTTGCAAAGAAGAAAAGCTTTCGTATGATGAGGGTCTGAGTCTTTGAGTTAAGATTGAGTAGGGGGGGGGGGGTTAATGTCTGTGGATGCTCCTATTGATAATATTTTTGCAGTAACCTTTTTAGATGAATACTTGTTTGAAACTAGAGAGCTCAGCGGGTCTACGTGCATCATCGCAAAGGTCTATTGATCTGAAGAAAGGAGTATTATTGACTGAATTAATTTGTGAAGGTGGATAATGAGAGTTGGCACGCAAGTAATGATTGACATGGATGAGTTTTTGATAAACAGAGTGATGAAAACCTTGGAATTGATTTTTCTTTATGATAACGTTGAGAAACGGTAGGGGTGAATCAGTTTTCAGGTGGGTTTGAAAAGACCCCAAAGCATCCCTGCCATTGGGCCAAATAACGAATGTATTGTCAACATATCGTAGCTAACATGTGGATTTGAGCATTGGTGTGGATAGTGCTCGGGTCTAGACGACTTTCAAAACTATATTGGCAACTATGATAGTGGGAAGCCCATTGGAGGAGCACCATTTATTTGTATGTACAATTTATTTTGAAAGATGAGACGTGTTGGACATATAGTGTATACATATATATATATATATA